AAGTTATCCCCATTACGAGCCAGCTTTGCCATCAGCTCGAGAGATCGAGGGCAAGTCGCCCACCCCCACAACCTGACCGTTGGCCTGTGGCGGGGGGTGGGCGAAGGGAACGGGGGTACTGGCGCGAGCGCTGCCTCTCATTCGTCGTGTGAATTGAGGCCGGTGCGCCCACCTGTAAAATGGAGACACTTCCTTGGACGTGGCAGGGACACACTATGGGGCGCTGGGTAAAGCGGAGCTGCAGCACAGTGAGGGCAGAAGGCTGGGCGGGTCCCATCTCATATACACAAATTTGTTCCCTACCCCGCCTCTGGGCCTCAATTTCCCCATCTGCCAACGCTGGACGGCCTCTAAGGATGCTTTCCACTTTCAAATTCTGTGTGTGTTAGAAACCCAGGCTCCCCCGTTTTCCCAGGAAGCAGTCACATGGCACAGCTATCTTAGACACAGTCTGAATCTTTGAAGCAGTCTCAGACTGGGGAGCAGAGACGGGGCCCCAAAGTGGCAGATGTGAAACTGCCTATCCCCAGGGTCAGGTCACATGTCTGACAGCCCCAGCGTGTGTGTGCCGTGTGTGTGCCTGAGGTGTAGATCTTAGAGACAAACACCTCTGGCGCCTTGTTGAGTCACAGGACCAAATGTTCCTATGGGTTCTGTGATCAGAAACGGAGAAGTGGGTTCAACCTGCCCTATTTTCCTGGGATTGGAAGGCAGTTCCAATCCTGACGGCCTAAATTTCCTCAGAATTTGAAACAGCTTGCCTTCCCAGGACTAAGCAGCTCACCCCCATACGAGGTGCCTGTCCTATTAGCATGACTAAGGTCTCTAGGAAGCTCTAGGGGGGCTGGAGAGGAGAGAGTGTGGTGGGAACAGGCACCTGTTCCTGTGAGAAATGTTGTCTACACTGACAACTGCTCAATAATCCAATCTGTACTCATTTAGTGAGAGTGAGGTTTTCTTTATTAAATTTTGCAAAATCAGGCACCCTGCCCTGTAGACAAGGGCAGATGGGCTGCATGGCCATTTGACAAAGAGTTTTATTAACCTAGCTGGGAAAAAGCCCCTCCTCCATTTCCCCTTTACTGGGAACTTTGAGTTTATAATCTTTCCCAAAAGGCACCTATTAATCCCTACAGGGAGAATTCTCATTTAAACTTAGTTTTACTTCCTTGATGGGTGTATTCTTATTTTAAAGAGTCTAGTAGGTCAAACTAGTCTCTTCCTCTTCTCATAGTTCCCTTTTGTCATGCCAACCTGCTACCCCCAAGATATCCTTGATTCTGAAGATGGATCACCCCAACAGCTATGTCTCATACTCCTGGGTCTCAGCTCTGAACCTGCAGACCAGGATGCAATGACCCTAGTTCCTCCCTAAACCAGTTAGAGCAAAGTGAGGACGCAGTTGGGTACTGTTGAGTGTATAGTGCTGTGTTGGGGTTCAGAGACCTAGGAAAGAAACACCCCTGTCCTCAGGAAGTTTGTATTATGGTTTAATGGGTCAATGAAAGGAAAAGGGGGAGAGGAGTCTGGTAGAAAAGTGTACTTAAAGTTACATAAAACAAAAGATGCGCCTCAAGAGCTATAAAGGATGGTACCAAAAGCAGCAAGAGAAGGGGTCTCAATTCCTGAGCACCAGCTATGTGCTGGATGTTGGATTAGGCCTTTTCTTGTGTGTTACCTCACTTCCTCCTTTTGGACCTGGGACATAAGACTAGGAGCAGCCATCATATGTTGAGCACCTGCTCTCTGCTGGATGTTTTAGTCTGGCTTTGAACTGGCTCTTCCCAGTTCATTCATGACTGGCAAAACGAAACTAGAAAGGACTTTGTGAAATGTAGGTGTACTGGAACATCAGTGCCTTTCTAGAAACTTAATTTTCCTCTTAGAAAACATGAGCAGAATGTGCATTGCATAGCATACAAACCTCTGGATCAGCAGCGTCAGAAACAATGGTGACCAGCTCAAAGATGGAAGCCAACCGTCCTGTTTTGAATGTGTGTTGCTCTCTACAGCCCTGACAAAAATTGTTGTGTTGTTGTGACATGCCATCAGATTGATTCTGATCCATAGTGACCCTGTATAGGGTTTCCAAGGAGTGACTGGTGAACTTGAACCGCCAATCTTACAGTTCAAAGCAACTTTGCAGTCCGGTGCATTAACCCACAGCACCACACCAGGACTGGCAAAAATACAGTCTCCTGATTCAGGCTTCTGAAAGGACTGCATACTCCTCTTCTAACTCTCTCATTCCAGGGCTTTCATTGTAATCTTTCCTGTTTCCGTACACCCACATTTTACAAATTTGTTTCTGTTCTAAATTTGCTGCATAGACCATAACACATTAAGAAGCGAGTATTATATTTCCATTTTATGGATAAGAAAACAAGATCAGAAAGGCTGACTCACAAGGCTGACAGCTGACAGGTGTGTGTTGTTGTGGAGATGGGTGGGGACTAGAGCCCAGGTCTAGCTGAGCTAGAAGGGGCTTTGGGTACGATGCTGGCTAGTGGGGCAGGTGGGCAGAGGCAGGTGAGAAAAGGCATTCCCAGTACAGAAGCATCATAAGCATGGGGAGGGCACTGGGAAAGACTGGGGCCCATGAAATACCACAGGTGAGGCTGGGAATGGCAGAGTGAGGGATTTGTGGGCCGTTTGGCAGGCAGTGAGGACGTGTTGGAAGTTGTGAGCTAGAAGGACAAGTTCAGAGCTCTTCCTTGCCTGGCAGGATTTGTGAAGGCCTGCACAAGAGCCCATTGCTGGATGGGCTTCACTTCTGCACAGTTCTAGGTGAGTGACAGAAGGTGGGCTGGGGTGGGATTGGCAAAGGAAGCGAGGAGCTGGGGCACCACAGGTCTTCTGAGCTGAGAGATCTAGGGCATCTCAGTTGGCAGGGCTCACCTGCTGCTTTGTATGTCAGCAGTATAGGAGCCCACAGCCCGCTGAGAGTTTTGCCAAGGTCACTGGTAGTGAGGTGAGCAGGGGGAGATACAATCATGAGGACAGATCCAAGACTGTATGTAGCCCAACCTTCTGTGAGGGACCTGCAGTCAGGAAAATCTTCGCAGCAGCCCTAGGAGGTCTGAGATGAGGCCCCAAGAAAGTAGCAGGTGGTGGATTCTGCTTTACCACAGAAGCAGAGACAAGAGTGAGCAGAAAGGGCTGGTCCTTGTGCATCCGATGAATTGCAGTGAGATCCAGGTGGGGAAACCTGGGGGCATTGTGGGACCTTTACATTCTTTTGGGTCCTTCAGAGATGGGGACTTCTGGTGTGGCACTGAAGGCTAAGCACTGAACTGCAGTAGTTTGGTGGTTTAAACCCATCAGCTGCTTTTCTGAAACCTTATACAGGGTCTCTGTGAGTCAGAAATGACTTGATGGCACTTAACAACAACAAGAGATGGAGAGTTAGACTGAGCTCCAATGCTGGCCACTGATGCTGCTCACTGACACTTCCATCCAATAGTCATTCATTCATTCAACGAATAGATTTTGAATGTCTACTCTGCCATGGAGCTCTGGTAGCGTAGTGGTTACAAATCGGGCTGCAAACCGCAAGGTCAGCAGTTCGAAACTACCAGCTGCTCCGCGGGAGAAAGATGAGGCTTTCTGTTCCTGTAAAGATTTACAGCCTCAGAACCCCTGTACAGGGTCGCTATGAGTCAGAACCGACTCCACGGCACACAGCCACTCTGTACCACAGAGTTCCCGGGCAACACAAACACTTAAGCCCTCAACTACTAGTGAAAAGATGGGCGGTTTGAATCCACCCAGAGGCACCTTGAAAGACAGGCCTGACCATCTGCTCTGAAAGGTCACAGCCAAGAAACCTTGTGGAGCAATTCGTCTACTCTGCACACACAGAGTCCCCATGAGTCTGTCAACTTAAGGACAATTAACAGCTCTAACTATGTCACATGCTGTTTGAAGCCTTTGAGGTACATAAGTCAACAAAACAGCCAGAGGTCCCTTTCAGACAGGGCAAAATGGCCTCATGCCTCCGAGGTGACAAGTATAATGGAAGAAAGGAAAGGCTGAGCCAGGAGAGGGACAGCCGGTACCACACGAGGCAGGATGGGCAGATGGTAGCAGCACTGACCTCCAGGAGAAGTGAGAGCAGAGTGTTCACATGAAGGGACTGGTAGTGGAAAGGCCTGAAGGGGAATCGCATGGGAGGAAGAGTTAGGAGGCCAGGGTGGCTGGAGTAGAGGGAGCAAGGCATTGAGGTTAAAGAAGTGCAAAGTCCACGAGGTAGGAGGTAGCGGTGGGGTGGGCTCAGAGATCCTAGAAAATATTTTGGTTTTGAGTCTGAGCAGGGAGCTGGGCGGAGGAACCCTGGTCTGCTTTAGATTTTAACTGGATCTCTGGCTGAACTGTCATTCCCAGAAGGGCCTGGGAAGGGGGTGTGGGGGAGCAGGGTGGAGACAGTGAGGCCATGGGGCAGTGATCCAGGTGGAAATGATAGGGGCTTGGGCCAGAATGGAAGGCGTGAAGGAAGTGAGAACTGGCTGGAGTCTCATCTGGCTAGATGAGAAGACTAAGGTGGTTTTCAGATAGAATGCGGGTGAGTGTGAGACCGAGATGTCAAAGGTTGGCACTGCATGTGGGGTCTTCACACGTTTCTCCGGGTGCCATGATTGAAGACCCTCCACCCCTCATAACCTGTCCTCTTCTCCCCGCCTTGTCCAGGGAAGGAGATTCCAGACCCTGCCCTGTTGGTTTGGGTTATAGTTGCCCAAGGGGAAATGGGCAGCTGCAGCTCAGCTACCCCCTGGCCCATAGACACACCAGCATTTATAGCATCCTAAGAAAGGGGTCGCTATGGGTCAGAATCGACTCGATGGCACTTAACAACAAGAAAGGGGTGCAGTCTGGGTGTGGTACTGTGGGCTAATGCGCTGGACTGCAAAGTCAGTTTGAATCACACGTTCGGTGGTTCAATCTCACCAGCTGTTCCTTAGAAACCCTATACAGGGTCGCTATGGGTCAGAACCAACTTGATGACATTTAACAACCACAATAACAACAAGAAAGAGGCGAGCCCTGGGGCAAACTAGTTAAGCACTGGACTGCTAACTGAATGAAGAAGAGGAAGACCCCCAGTGAGATGAATTGGCACATGGCAACAGTAAGGGGCTCCAAGTGTAGCAATGATTGTGAGGTTGGTCCAGGACCGCGCAGTGTTTTGTTCTGTTGTGCATAAGGTCACTATGAGTTGGTACCGACTTGATAGCACGTAACAACAAAGCTAACTGAAAGGTCAAAAGCTGGACCCACTCCATCCCACCCCCACCCCCCAGCAGCTCTGCAACAGAAAGCTGTGACTGTCTGTCTGTTTCTGTAAAGACCCACAGCTTTGGGAACCTGCTCTGTCTTACCCAGTCACTGAACTGGAATCGACCCAAGGGCATTAGGTTTGGTTTGGGAAAGGGGCTGGGAGAAGAGACAGTGGGGAGATGTGTTTAGGACTCACACCTGGAAGTCATAAATAACCCCAGGGACAGCAGACAGGCTCCAGGTCCCTGGTGAGTCACTCCCCTCTTCACTCCCCACTCCTCAGTCCTCAGTGCCCCCAGTATGAGTAGGGATGCCCCCTGGTGGCCATGGCTTCATCTTTTGTGGCCTAGTTGCTGCATGTTTGGGGGCTAGTAGGCAATCTGGTGCTTTTCTGTGGGAACCAACAGGAGTTTGGACTGGACTAAGCAGCTATCCATTTACTTAGTTACCATTGAGTCCATGTGTGCCAGAGTAAAACTGTGCTCCCTAGGGTTTCAAAGGCTTTCGATTGTGCGGATCATGACAAGCTATGGACAACATAGCAAAGTATGAATATTCTGGAACACTTAATTGTGTTCATGAGGAGTCTGTACCTGGACCAAGAGCAGTTGTTCAAACAGAACATGGGAACACCGAATGGTTTAAAATGGAGAAAGGTGTGCGACAAGGTTGTATTCTTTCACGAAACTTTTTCAACCTGTATGTTGAGCAAATAATCGGAGAAGCTGGATTCTATGAAGAAAAACGTGGCATCAGGATTGGAGGAAGACTCATTAACAACCTGCAATATGCATATGATACAACCTTGCTTACTGAAAGTGAACAAGAGCTAAAACATTTACTAATGAAGATCAAAGAGCACAGCCTTTGGTGTGGATTACATCTCAATGTAAAGAAAACAAAAATCCTCACCACTGGACCAATAAACAACATTCTTATCAACGGAGAAAAGGTTGAAGTTATCAAGGACTTCATCCTTTTTGGATCAACTATCAACACTCATGGAAGCAGCAGTCAAGAAATCAAAGGACGTATTGGCATTGGGCAAATCTGCTGCACATGACCTTTTTAAAGTGTTGAAGAGCAAAGATGTCAGCTTGAGGACTAAGGTGCTCTTGACCCAAGCCATGGTATTTTCAATAACCTCATATGCATGCGAAAGCTGGAGTGAATAAGGAAGACAATAGAAGAATTGGTGCTTTTGAGTTATGGTTTTGGAGGAGAATATTGAAAGTGCCATGGGCTGCCTTTGGAAGAGGTGCAGGCGGAGTGCTCCTTGGAGGCCAAGATGGCCAAACTTTTCTCATATTGTCAAACTTTGGACATATTGTCAAAGGACATATTGTCCTTGGACATATTGTCAGGAGGGAGCAGTCCCTGGAGAAGGATATCATGTTTGGTAAGGTGGAGGGTCAGAGAAAAAGAGAAAGACCTCAAACTAGATGGATTGGCCAAGTGGCAGCATCAGTGGACTCAAGTGTGACAACAGTAGTAAGGTTGGCCCAGGATCGGGCAGTGTTTCGGTCTGCTGTGCATAAGGTCCCTATGAGTTGGTGCCTACTCGATGGCATCTAACAACAACAACAACAACAATAGGGTTGCCAGTGGCTGATTTTTTGGAAGTAGGTAGGCAGGCCTTTCTTCTGAGGTCTGTCTGAGGTACTAGGTACTGACCTTGCAGTGAGCAGCTGAGCGCATTAACAGTTCACAATAGGTATTAAACCCTTGCTGACTGGAAACAGTCCTGGGGGGACCCTGGCTGCCCTCCCTGGCCCATGACACTGCTGTCAGCCGGACATGGAGATCAAGGCATCTCATTCTACACTCATAACTTCCTCCAGTCTGTCAGGGTCACTGAGGTTGGCACTCTCCCATCTCCTGGCTGCCCAGGGTTAAACATTAGTGGGAGGTTATCAGGCCCAGGTTGGGGGAGGGAGAAGGCTGAAGTCAACTCTCCATAGCTTCTCCTCAGCCGCCTGAAGGCCCCAGTTCCTGCCCTGTGCCCAGAACAATGCCTGCGGAGGAGTTTGTGGCTGGCTGGGTCTCCGGTGAGACATCTTTCTTCCTTCTGTCACATCATCCCCAAGGGTGGAGCGACATCTGAGCAGCTGAGGCCAAAGTCCTGGTTCCCCTGGAGCAGCCCAAAGCCAGCTGCCCTCCGGGCATTCCTGGAGTCCATCAGGGAGGAGAGGAAGGAAGGCGAGGGGGTGAGGGTGGGTAGGAGAGCTGCTTCTGCAGTTCACCATCCAGCACCTGGCACCTGCCAAGGCCCCAGCAGCCCCCATCTAGGCTCTGCTCTCCCACCACCTTGGGGCTCAGGGTGAAGTTCACCTGTGACCTCACCTGCTGTCCCGAGTTCCCCTTTGGACCTCTGCCCTACCTGGCCTTAGGCCTGCTATGCTTCCTGACCCAACGCAATGGGGCGACACTTCTCTTAGGGGGAAGAGGGGACATTCTGAACCTGCCCTGGGGCTGCCACCTCCCTCAAATATAGAACCAGCCTTGGCTATGCTCTTGCAGGTGGGAGAGGATGATGGTGGGGTCCTGCAGCTCACACTGCAGACACTGGCCGCCCCCCTCCCAGGGACAGAAGTCATTCACTCATAGTTACCAGTTGTGGGAGGAAGAAGCAAAGCTGGAAGGGACAGAGGAGTTGGCCATTGGAGAGACTTTCAGAGTCCCAGGGCCCCATAGCCAATGAGACCCTTAGGAGTCTGCCCAGCTGTGGGTCTGGGTGAGGCCTCCACACAGGATTCAGGGGTCTCACTCCCCTTGACTAGTGCAATGGCTGGTGGGAGTTGGGGGGCAGCTGAAACATCTCAGAGTCTGGTAGGAAAGCTGCAATCCAGCCTCTTCCCTCCTGCCTGCTCCAGGCCCCTTCTCACTCATCATACCTTCTTTTCACTACAGGGGCTCTGGGTCTGGTCTTGGGGCACCCCTTTGACACTATAAAGGTGAGTCTGGGGGCGACCCACGCCTACACTGGTGCCAGGGCCCTCCGGGCTAAGAGCCCACCAGCCCACGGATCTGTCCTCCTCCAGGTACGGCTGCAGTCACAGAACAAGTACCGAGGCATCTTGGACTGCGCCATCCAGATCTACCGCCATGAATCGGTGCGGGACCACTTCTTTGGGGTGGGCCAGACGGGGTCAGCTTTCTCCTCCCCTCACCAGGTTCTGCCCCCAAAAGGAGAAGACCTGAGCTGGGGCCACCGGAGGAGAGGTGGCCTTCCTCCATCTCAGCCTGCTTTGCCCCCACCCCCATCCCACTGCCCCAGAGGAGGCCCCATGCAGACAGGCCCTGCCCACTCAGCGCCCTGTGTTCCGTGTTCCACAGGTCCTGGGCTTCTTCAAAGGAATGAGCTTCCCCATCGCCAGCATAGCGTTGGTCAACTCTGTCCTGTTTGGGGTCTACAGCAACGTCCTGCTGGCACTCACCACCACCCCCCACCAGGAGCGGTGGACCCATCCCCCAGTCTACATGGATGTCTTCATAGCCGGCTGCTTGGGGGGCTTCGTGCAGGTGAGTGGGGCTCGCACATGAGTGGTGAGTGTGGGGCCAGCAAGCCTTGCCTTCTCAGCTCCCTCTGGCAGCCCCATAGCTTCGGGATGCAGGCTGTCCATACCCTTGGGACGGTGAGGAGCTAAGGAGAAATGGCAAGCCCCAGGCTACACCCTGCATCTGGCCTGGCAGGGCCCTGGCCTTCCATGTTGCTAGCTTCTAGGGCCAGGATGAGAATAGAGAGCTCCAGTGGTGGCCAGTTCTAATGACTGCAGCCAGTGCCCACTTCTTCAATAGCCAGTCTGCTCCACAGTTGTGGATGGACCACTCCCCAGGCCACCTTTGACCCTGGGGAACTGACAGCCTCAGTGCTAACTTTCATCCCCAGCAGAGCTCAGGCTCAGTTCTGTGTCCGGCTGCCTAGTTCAGCCCCTTCCCTGCACCATCTGGGTGGCCTTTTACCCAGGCGGGGCCAAGACACCTGTGTATTCGTCATTAAGTAGCTCTGGTCATTCGTGTTTGGTCTTGTGTTCTCGGGACTTTGGGAGGGTGACCAAGAGAAGGGGAGCTGCAGCCACCAGAGGGGACTTTGTACCAAATGGGGACCCTGATCAGGCAGAGGTCAAGGGCTCCATCTTGCTACTCCCCACAAGGTTCCTTACTGAGCAGCCCCTGACATACTTGACAAGGCCAAGTGAATGGACAAAGGACAAAGTCAGGCTGCTCCTTCAAATGAATTAATGATTAATGAGACCCTTCTAAGGCCTGGCTGATGTTCTGCCCCTTCTTGGGGGGAGGGGGGAAATGTGGTACAAAATAAAACAACAAAAGACACCCCCCAAAAGAAACTCGATTCTGCTTATTCAGCGTGGAACTCTGTTCTTTCTGGCCCACCCCCATCTTATCTTGACATTATTGCATCCTTGACCCAAACTCCTGACCACCCTAGCCCTCTACAGCCCCCTAGCACCTGCTCTTGCCCAGGCCCAGTAATATCCCACATCTGCCTCACCTGCCGATGAATAGGACTTTGGGGACCCACAGAATTGCACCTGTCACCCAGCTTCCCATGTTCTGAAGTCTCTGTGCTCGGACACTTGGGAGTTGGTAGGTTTCCCCTCCCTGGGCCTTAGAGGTGACCTGCTCCCTGAAGTAGGGTCAGTCCTATGCTGTGACTCGCGGTCTCAGTCCCATGTCTTTATTCTGAGCCACTTATGCAAACACATGCTCGTCCCTGGAGTTCAGGAAACGAGAAACCTGCCCCTGCTACAGGGGGAAAAAATCCCATGTGTCTCTCATGCTGGCTGCTGCGGGCATGAGGCGGGGGCAGTGTTGTCCACTCACTGGAGGTGGCCGGTGCCCAGGGACGGGGCGGGGGGCAAGGGAACTAGCTGTGTGAGCACGAGCTGAGCGTGCCTCTGTCCTCTGTGAGCGTCACAGTCTGTGACCAGGGTCTTTCTTCTCCGTCCTTCGCTGCAGGCCTACTGCCTGGCCCCTTTTGACCTCATCAAAGTCCGACTACAAAACCAGACAGAGCCAAGGGCGCAGCTGGGGAGCCCACGGCCGCGATACCGGGGACCCCTGCACTGCATGACCTCCATCCTCCAGAATGAGGGGCCCCAGGGATTGTTCCGAGGGTCCGGCACCCTGATGCTGAGGGACACCCCCACACTGGGCATCTACTTCGTCTCCTATGAATGGCTCTGCCGCTATTACACACCCAAGGACCAGAATCCCAGTAAGTCCAGTGGGTGGGGCGGAGGGTGGTCAGGGAGGTGGGCTCTGACAGGGAGGCTGGCGTGGGGTGAGAGACCTGGGGGATGCATGTATGACCCTAGCCCTCTGTCCCTGGCTTCTTGACCCAGATTCAGCCACAGTGCTGGTGGCAGGGGGCTGTGCCGGCATCGCCTCCTGGGTCACAGCCACACCCTTGGATGTGATCAAGTGCCGCATGCAGATGGACGGGCTGAAAGGCCGGGTGTACCACGGGCTGCTGGACTGCATGGTGAGCAGCGTCCAGCAGGAAGGACCCCAGGTCTTCTTCCGGGGACTCATCATCAACAGTGCCCGCGCCTTCCCTGTCAACGCCGTCACCTTCCTCAGCTACGAATATCTCCTTCGCTGGTGGGGGTGAGCCTGGGCGGGCCCGCCACCCACTGCCGCCACTGAGGCCAGCTTGCAGTACAGATGGCAGAGGCTCAGCCGATTATGCCATTAACCTCATTCCATCCAGGGCCTCCCACACGCTAGACTGGGGCTGGGAGGGTGGAAGTGGCTGTGGGGGCTGGCAGCCTGGAGCTGGTCTCGGACCCCCAGCAGCACCGACCCTCCATTCTTTTGTTTCGAGTATCTGTCCAAGAAGCAGGGCCGACAGGGTGCAAACCAAGGAGCCAATGGTGCTAGAGACTGTCCGGCCCCTTCCCACGTAAAGGCGCCGCTACCTCAGCACCCTGTCTGACTGGTTGACCTGGGGTTTCACCTCCTCTCTGCGGCCTCGGTGCTCATCATCCCCCCTCACCCCCTCTTTGCCTCCCCCACTGCACATCTCAGCGGTCACCCTATGACCCCGCCTTGCCCAGAACCCTGAGTTGGCTTCATCCCCATCAGGAAGTCAGGGAAACCCCAGGCCCCTCCCCATGGGCTCCCCACCCACCGAGCTTTCCTTTCTCTGTGATGTTAAAGTAGGCTGAAGCCCTGCTGGTCAGAGCCTATCAGGAGGACTGTGTCCAGCAGGCCAGCCCGGCTCCCCTCTGAGAGTCAGTCTGAGGTGGCCTCCCAGAGCCCCTCCTCCCCTGCCTCCCCCTGGCCACACTGACTCTGGGCTCCAGACCACCCCTTCTCCCTCTAGACCTCACCTTGGTTTACCAGCTGTGGGCTTCACATAGACGTCCCCTGAGACTGAGTGCCTAGAGAACCAGGGTCCCATTTCTTGTTTCCCAACATCAAGCCCAATGCCAAAAGCCGAATTTTCAGTAAACGCTTGCTAGATGGTCTTTTGCTTGCACGTCTCCCTCTCCACCTCCCCTCCATTATCCACCACCCCTGCTTGCTCCCTGGCCCTGCCTCACTGCCCTCTCTCTCCTGGCTGCCTAGCTCCGGGGCCATCCCAGTGAAGTGACACCAGCATTGCTCTCTCAAGGGTGGGTCAGGGTGATAGTTGGGAGATGTCATTTGGTCCCTTTGTTGTTGTTAGGTGCCGTCCAGTCAGTTGCAACTGATAGCGACCCTGTGCACACGTGTTGGAAACACTGTTCGGTCCTGCGTCATCCTGACAATCAGTCGTTGTCATGTCTGAGCCCAGGGTTGCAGCCACTGGGTCAGTCCATCTCGCTGAGGGTTTTCCTCTTTGTCATTGACGTTCTTCTCCAGGGACTGGTCCCTCCTGATAATGTGTTCCAAGTATACGAGACAAAGTGTCTCCTTCCTCTCTTCCAAGTAGCAGTCTGCCTGTACTTCTTCCAATACGGATTTACTTGTTCTTCTGGCAGTCCATGGTGTATTCGAGATTCTTTACCAATCCCTTCATTCAAAGGCATCAGTTCTTCCCCAGAATTCTTTAGTCATTGTCCGGCTTTTGCATGCAAGCAAGGCGATTGAGAATACCATGGCTTGGATCAGGCATACCTTAGTCCTCAAAGTAATATATTTGCTTTCTAACACTCTAAAGAGATCTTTGGCAGCACATTTGCTCAATGCAATATGTTGTTTCCTTTACTCATTGAAATAAGCTGGGCATAGTTTAAACCCATTAATGTCTCCATCTGGTCAGACATCAACCCAGTCCACCTTACGGTGGCCTGAACTCCTGGGTTTACTGCTGGTTACGGGAGGCTTTCTATAGAAGCCATCACAGTAGTAGTTGCACAACTACCAGAGGAGGTGGTGGCCTCAGCTCTGAGCCACGGTAATTTGTCACATGGCTGGTAAGGATGGAACCTGGTTATTTTACTACCCTGCTCTACCCTCTCTGGGATTGGCCTGAGGTCAGATTCACCTGGGTCAGACCCATCTCAGCTCCCCGCATGCGCTCCCGAGTTCTAGCCATCTAAACGCTCACTGACTAGATTGTGTATTAGAGATAGCCAGGCCACTCAGGACTCCCTCAACTTTTCCCCAATTACGCATCTAGCGTGTGGCCACAGGGAGAGGAGAGATTTCCCAATCTCTCTTGCAGCTGGATGGGGCCTGTGATTAGGTTCTTGTCAGAGGAAACTGGGCAGAACCACCCATCCCCTGTTTAAAATACCTCCCTGTCTACTGGAAATGGCGATGAGAGGTGGAGCCATCCAACCTCCACCAGCCTCCGCTGGAGCTAGCACAATGCCTGAGGGCCAATGAGTCTACACAACAATCCAAGTGTGCTACATGAGCCTACAGCATCATACCTACTGTTAAGTGTTATCGAGTCGATTCCGACTCATAGCGACCCCTTATGAGATTTCCAAAACTTTTAAAATCTTTGAGGAGCAGAAAGCCTCATTTTTCTCTCACACAGCATCCGATGGGTGCAAACCACCAATCTTGTGGTTCCTAGTCCAGTGATGATCCTATGGAAGCTGTTAAGTGCCGTCAAGTTGGTTCCTACTCACTAACCCTGTATAGGGTTTCTAAGGAGCAGCTGGTGAGCTTGAACCACCGACCTTGCAGTTCATACGGCTTTGCAGTCTGACATATTAGCCCATAGCACCTTACCCCAGGACTCCATGGAGCCTGTTAAAAATGCAGACTCTCAGGCCCCACCTCAGACCTACTGAGTCCGAATCTCTGAGAATGGCAGCAGCCCAAAATCTGTGGTGTGACGCCCCTCTCAGTGATTAGTAAGTTTATGAAACAGTGTCCTGCCTCAGAATGTTAAGCAGAGTTGTTACCCGCCAACGCTAGGTCCATTGTCCAGTGTGACAAGACACGGAGATGAGGTGCAGAAGGCACACCTTTCTCATTGGATCTGCAACAGCTGAAGCTGCCGTAGCACTTGGTAAAATACCAAACACTCCAGAGTCCCAAAGGAGAGGGACTCTTACACAGGATGGCTGGGGATTACACACGAGTCACAAGTGAACTTCTCATGTTAAGTGCCATCCGTTTCAACCCACAGCAGCCTTGCATGTGGTGTCCGAGGCTTTTAAAATCTCTGTGGGAGCAGAAAGCCTCATCTTTCTTCTGTGGAGTGGCTGGTCGGTTTGAACCGCCGGTCTCGTGGCTCACAGTTTAGTGCATATCCTACAAAGCCACTCGTCGCAAACTTCCTCTGCAAGTTAACTGCACACACAAACAGTCTTTCAAGGAACACTCTTGTCATTCCCTTCTTGGAACGTCCTTATCATATATATAAAAACTATAATTTAGACATCAGCCACAGCATTCTTTCTTAGAAGAAAACCTTTTTATCGTCATCTTAAATAAGGCGGGTACACATATTTTGATGGTAGAAAAAGAAAATGGCTGTGGGACAGAGTCCAGCTTGGATTCTAACCTGTGTTAGTCCGTGTAGGCGCACCGGGGCCTCCGTTTCTGGTGATTAATGGTTTGTGACTGAGCTCTGGGGTCAGCTCTGGGGTCAGCAAACCTCCTGACTGTTGTTTCTCAAAAAGTTACAGTTACTTACCTCACTAGCGGGAACACTGGGGAACTCTTTTGAAGAATATTATGCATTCTTCTCTAGAACACTATGTCAGAGTTACCAGATGACCTAAGAAGTTTTCATAACTAACAAATATTTGCACACCAGTGTTTATAGCAGCGTGGTTCACAACAGCCAAATATGGGAACAACCCAAATTCATCAGTGGATGAACTAATAAAATGTGGTATATATCCATTATACAATGGAATATCATTCATCTATAAAATGTTCTGATACACAGATGTTAACTTGGGTGAAGGGGAGGTTGGCAGAAGAATAATGAAGGCATTGGAGGACACAAAAGTGCAAGAGTTAAAGGCAACAGAGGTAAATACCATTATATACACACTCCTGCAAGAATGGTGATCTGCAGGCAGAAGGATGGATAGACACAAAGGCTGAACTGGTGTGGGAGGAGAGTGGATTATGCGCACAAAACAAAGTTTTGACAGCATGTCTGTACGTGGGTTTTAACTTTGCTGCAAACATATCCATGAATACGGTGGAGCAAACAGCAAAATTTCAACCTTCTTAGACATCACCAAACACCTTGAGGGGATGAGTCACTAGACCTGGGGGTTCAAGATCATAGTCTCATGGGGCACCATGGTTAACTGGCATAGCATAGTTCATTAAGACAGTGTCCTATATCCTTTGGTGAGTGATGACTGGGATCTTAAAACTCATGAGCTGCCATCTAAGGTATAACTATTGGTGGAGAAAAGAAGAGTGAAGAAAACTGAAGTCCACTGGAAACAATTAGTTTAATGAATTAATGGTCCACATGAACATCAGTCTCCACAACCCTGAGACCAGAAAACCCAGCTACCACTACCAACTACTCTGAACAGGATCACATTAGAAGGACCAGGATAGAGTGGGAGGCAATGTGGGGAAAACTCAACATCATGAAAAAATACCAGGCTCATTGGTCAGGTAGGTACTGGTAGAACCCCAAGACTATGACCACTGGCCACCCTTCGGGTCTGAACCTGAACTCACCCCATGTCTCAATTTTCAGCCAAGCACTAGATAAGCATGGAGAGGGGCAACAACACTAGTGAGGTACACACATCATAGAATGGCTAACCACCAATCAAATGGTCAGCACTGACCCAAGGACAAAGTTCAGAAGGTGGGGAAAGAAGAAGGAATGGAAAGAAGAAACAAAGAGAAGAATTGGAATCAGTGATGTTTCATGGAGGGGACTGCCATCAGTGAGATGAAGTGAAGAGGATGATTTGTTGAATGTAAAACTGATGATCTGCTCTGTAAAGTTTCATGCAATTCACAATAGCTATATATATGGATAAGGAGCTCTGGTAGCGTAGTGGTTACGAATCGGGCTGCGAACCTTAAGGTCAGCGGTTCGAAACTACCAGCCGCTCCACAGGAGAAAGATGAGGCTTTCTACTCCCGTAAAGATTTACACCCTCGGAAACCCTGTACAGGGTCGCTATGGGTCGGAACCGACTCGACGGCACTTAACAACAACAATAACATATATATGGA